TAACAATATAAAGTATGTTCATATACATCAGTATTTAATTCTTGAACTCAGTGTTATAATTAATGCATATTCACAGATGAAAACCTTAAGATTTCTCCAAAATGGTAAATCGTTGTTTTAAACTTAGATTACCTGGCTCCAAATCATTTATTCTGAAAATTGTGAAAGCTGGGAAAAACTAGAATGGTAAAGATTGTTTAACTGTGGACAAATGAAAGACATGAATTTCATTATGACTACCTATTCTCTATAAGACAAATTTTTCTTGCTCATTGTCAATTTCCAAGGCATGTTTAAGAAAAAAAAGAAAAAAGAAAAAAAAAAATCCATTGCTATTGAGTAAATTCCAACTCATAGAGATCTCATGCAACAGAAAAGAACTGCCCCACAGGATTTCCCAGGTTGTAAATCTTTACAGAAGCAGCCTACCACATCTTTCTCCCAAGGTTCGGAGAGTCAACATTTTAGGCAGCAGCCAGTCACTTACTGATGACCAAGGCTCCCTAACTCAAATGATTACAAAGAAAATTGAAAAAAGAAAAAAAGAAAGAATTTTAAATGCCAAGTAATTAGGCAATCTTTCCCTGTCATCGCTCTTTTTTTTCCTCTCAGAGGTAAATTATAATGTAAATCATAAAAGAACACATGTCTATGTAGGGCTTCCCTTTTCCCTGAAAATTATAATTGTTGATGATTTTATCTCTGAAGAGATTAGTTTTTGTGTGCAGTCAAATCCATTCTGACTTATACAAGAAGGTATTATTGTAGGTACACTCAATCTGTTACAGGCGATAATTTGATTCATTCATTTTAGGTAGTTGAATGTCATCCGTTGATAATGATGATGCATTGTTTATAGCAATGTTCTCATTTGTTGTGCTGTTTTATCTTGAAGGAATCTGTTACCCATAAAGATAGACTTCAACATCCATATAAAATTAAAGCATAACAATGATAGTGAAAGAAATTATGAACTTTATTTAGAAAACTACTGAAACATTTGTGTATCAGTTAGATGCCTTCACACACACTGTTAATTTCTCACAGAAGCAATATTTTTAGTGATAAATATTCTTTGTGGTTATCATTACACGCCATTGAGTCAGCTCCACTCATAGTGACTCTATGTACAACAGAACAAAACACAGCCCAGTCGTGCGCTATCCTCAATAATTGCTATACCTGAGTCCATTGTTGCAACCATTGTGTCAATCCATCTCGTAGAGGGCCTTCCCCTTTTTCTCTAACCCTGTGCTTTACCAGCCATGATATCCTTCTCCAGGAAATGGGCCCTTCTGAAAACACAAATAAAGTAGTGAAACAAAGTCTGGCCATTCTTCTTTCCAAGGAACATGTGGCTGCACTTCTAGGACAGATTTTTTTGTTCTCCTGGTAGTCCATAGTACTTTCAGTATTCCTTGGCAACACTACAACTCAGGAGCATCAGCTTTTCTTTAGTCTTCCTTATTCATTGTCCAGCCTTCCCATGCATATGAGGTGATTGAAAATACCATGGCTTAAGTGAGGCACACATTAGTCTTCCAAGAGACATCTTTGCTCTTCAGCACTTTAAAGACATCTTTTGCAACAGATTTGTTTTACTAACCTCTAGGCATCTATATTTACACCACTCGTTTGTCAGTTTGTCATACTCTGGTGGCTTGCATGCTATGCCACAGGTATTTCAAATACCAGCAGGGTCACCCATGGTGGACAGGTTTCAGCAGAGCTTCTGGACTAAGACTGGAAGAAAGAAGGGCCGTGCACTTCTCAAAGAATTGGCCAGTGAAAACCTTATGAATAGCGGTGAAACACTGTCTGATATATTACTGGAAAACTTTATGAATAGCCTTGAAACATTGTTGATATAGTGCCAGAAGATGAGCCCCTCAGTTCAGAAGGCACTCAAAAGTCCACTGAGGAATTTGAGCTGCCTACTCAAAGTAAAGTCAACCCTAATGATGTGGTGGAGGAAAGCTTTCAGGACTTCCATTTGCTGATGTGGCATGACTCAAAATGGGTAGAAACAGCTGTAAACATCCATTAAGAATCAGAACATAGAGTGTCAAAGTATGAATATAGGAACATGGTGTGTTGTCAAAAATGAAACAGAACACATAAAGACGTATCTCGTCAGCATTAGTGAGCTGAAATAGACTGGTTTTGGCCATTTTGAATTAGACGACTTTATGAACTACTATGTTGGGAATGACGAATTGAAGAGGAATGGCTTGACATTCATCATCATGAAGACTGTTTCAAGATATATCCTGAAGTACAACAGGGCAATACCCATATGCCTACAAGGAAGATCAGTTAATACTACTA